CACACACACCCTGAAAATACATAAACTTCTCTCTGTGGTACAATACATAAGCTTCTGTCTGTGGTAGAAAAAAAATGGGTGGCCCTAGAGGGCGGAAAACCAGAGATCTGGTGGATGAACCAGGTAGGAAAGTTTGGGAGTTAGAGCTCCAAAAAAGGGAGGAAGAGTGGGGAAGGAAGATAGAAGAGCTTGGCAAGATAATGGAGGAGTGGATAGCTGAAGAGTGCAGGAAGTGGGAGCTACAGGTATTAGCAGCAGAAGCTAGGATACAGTGCTTAGAAGAAAAACTGCAAAACCTAAATCAGATTAGAGAGAGACAAATGACAATTCAGTTGCGACATTAGGAAATTCTATGTCAGGCACAGACATAGGAGATATGCCATACGCGAAGGCCCTATCAGACCCACGTGGGGCCAGGGAAAAGACGAGGAGTACACTAAGATCAAATGACAGGTCCGAAGACAATGAAGGTATGTTATATGCAGAGACTCTAACAGCCAACTGCAGTAGCAAGGAACAGCTGGTCATGAAAGACAGTTCACTGAGAATAGATTGGGATACCGTGTAATAGAGGCAGTTACTTTCCATTAAATATTGTTGGGAGTTAGATTATAGAGATTTAGATCTGGATCTATTTGATCATTCAGCATTTAGGTTTAATGGCAACGGTTGTATAAACTGTATTTTAGCCCTTTGACTGTCACAGACCCCTTTCTGAAACTGTCATTCTATGTCGCAAAATATTCAAAAAAAAAAAATTTCTTACCAAAATAATCTTACTGAGTGTTTTAAGCCTAAAAAAAAATTTTCCCATCAGTACTTACCGAGATATAGAGTCAAAAAGTTGGCAGAAAATGAGCGGCGAATGCCGCCCACCTGGTATTCTTTTATTTACTCCAATTCGAAGGTTTCTTGTATTTTCCAATATTTTTCTTTTCTAAGTAACTTATGTGGCCTGTGAGACCAAAGTAAAGTGCATTGTTCAAATATACACTCATTATTAACAACACAATAACTGAACAAACATTATCACTGTTAGATTGTGTATAAAACTTGTTTACACAAACAAACAATACAAAATATGGTTTATTACTATTGTTCCATAATAGTATATATACATATGTACAGACACTGAACACTTTCCTAGAACTACTGCAGCTTGTGGAACTCTTTGAAACATGGGTATATGCAGAGTGGTACTTGACACTCCTCACACATAAAACGAGTGTCTCTGCGTGTTTGTGGGCGTTTTGTGGTATGTCCACATACAAAACCCCTCTTCTGAGCACTTTTCTTAAAAGCAGTAGGAGGCAGTTGTATGGGGTAGTGATCATCAGGCCTCAAACAAGATGTCATGTGTTGGTAATTTCATGGGCGCTGGTCTATTGCAGGTGTTGCTCCTTGGTACTTGACGATTATTTGTCTGATGACTGACAAACAAAATTCACCATATTTTGGTTTGTTGTTGGTCCTCAACTTGTATATGTTATAAGCATTTAGCATGGAAATATCAAGAAGATGGAAAAAAAGTTTTATATACCACTTATAACTCTTGCATACACAATCAGCAAACCCAATCTGCATGTCACATTTGTCCACTAAGCACATGCTGAGGTTGTAGTCCATGACAGCTGCAGGTTTTAGAATGGGTTCATTGGTCTCTCTATTGTGCCTGTCAGTGTGTGCAATTTCGTTTCGGTGAACTGATGTGAAGAATGTGACATCACATTTGTCATGCCACCGAAATGCCATGATGTCATTGGCAGCAAAGGCCTGCACCTCACCTCTGCAAGTGCCAGCGTCGAACCTTGGCATATGCTTACGATTACCAGGCACTGCGCCACACACGTCTGTCAGGTTTACTCGCAAGTAATCACTGAGTATGGGGCTTGTGTACCAGTTAATCAGTATATAATATATGCCCCTTACCAAGATATGGTTCCATCATTGTTCAATCCACATCACCAGAGATACCCAATAACTTCTTGATATCTCTCAATGTATTACTGCCAGTGTACACAATATCCAAAACGAGATATCACACAGTACAAATAACTTTATACCAAAGCATTTCCTCTTGCTTGGTATGTACTGCCTGAATGAGAGTCTTCCTTTGAATAAAATCAAAGACTCGTCATTAACAAGCTTCCCGAAGGGATAAAAATACATGCAACACTTTTGTTTCAGGTACATAAACACATTTCTGCTCTTATATAACCTGTCGGTTCTGTCAGGCCTTGTTTTGTCTGAAAAGTGTAACATACGTAAGAGTATCAAAAAACGATTTACTCCTATAATGTAGCTAAAACCTGGGGTTGAAATCAGGCGTTCTGTTGACCAGTATGTGGTGACAGTGTGCTTATACACATGTGGCATAAGCATTACTGTGGCAAAGAACAGGTACATCTCTGCCACAGTTGTGCCCTTCCACTGGTGTAGCCATGATCTTGGAGAAAGAATTGTATTTGCCATGGTGTACTCATAGTATGTGTTGGTTTCACTGACAATAATGTCCATCAGGGGTTCATCAAAGAATAAGCATTTTAGTTCAGTGGCATTGTTTCCAAGTGTACAAGATGGCCGTATTCCACTTTGTGTTTCATCAAAGTCATGGGGATTGGGAATAAAATCACCTTGGCGAATATTCCCCCTCACTGTCACTACTAGAGCTGCTGTCAATAATTTTGAAATCACTATCATTATCACTTTCACTGCTCAGATCTGAGTCCTGTAAATGGGGAAATGAAGTTTCCTTTTTCGTCCTGGTACAGGTTAATGTGAATGAGATGTGCCAGTACCAGAGGTGGACGGTTGTGGGTCATTGGGGTTTTCATCACTAATTATGTAATCCTGGGCACTGCTTTCGGTCACACCCTCTCCAAAACCATGAAATTCACTTTCACTGGCACTTCCATCACTGTTAGAACTATCACTTGGGAACAGTCGACCTCCAGTACCCCAAGGAGTGAGGTACTTCTTACCATGAGGCATGGTGAAAATGGACTACCAAGATGGCATTCCCACAATGCACCACTGAGTCCCAGATTTTTTTTCACAGGGTGCACACCCACCACTGAGACCCATTCTCTCTCATGCAGGCCTACCAGCTTTCTCCCGCTTGATTTGAAACCGCTAGAATTTTTGTGTATAAATATGTCCAAAACAGTGGCGCCTAAGACATATATATGTATATATATGACCGAAACAGTCAAAGGGTTAAAGCACCCCTCTGGCAAGACAGTGATGAAATGAATGATGATGAAAGTTTTTCTTTTCCGGGCCACCCTGCCTTGGTGGGAATTGGCCAATGTGTTAATAGATAATAAAAAAATTTAGAGGATGACCAAATTTTGAGTTTCGTTCATAAAGAATTCACTTGGATTGCCCCTTAGAGTGGGCATTGACTCGCTGAACACTGAGTCATATTGGGACTTTAATATCTTACTCATTTCTTGGCTATCATCTGTGTATGTCCCATCCTGCCTAAGCAGGGGCCCAATACTGGATGTTGTTTTTTCCTTAAATTTGGCATAAGAGAAGAACTATTTTGTTTGTTTTTTCAATTTCCTTTGTGGCTTTTAGTTCTTCTTGTGATTCTTGTCTCCTATAAGATTCCTTCAGTTTAAGTTCGATATTTGCAATTTCATTGACTAGCACCTCCCTTTGCATTTCAGATATATTGGCCCCACTCAGCAGCTCTGTGACTCTTCGCCTTCGTCTGTATAGGGAACATTTCTCTCTTTCTAGTTTACATCTTCTCTTTATTTTTCTTAATGGAATGTGTCTTGAGCAGATCTCAAGAACCACAGAATTAATTTTTTCAAGGTAAATGTTTGGATCTGTGTTGTTTAGGATATCTTCCCAGCTTGTTTCATTTAGGACATGGTTTACTTGATCCCATTGTATGTTTTTGTTATTGAAATTCAATTTCATGAAGAGACCTTCATGACTGCTTACATTTTGCTGGTCCAGAGCCCTCTGCATACATGTCTGTACCTCTGTTACTTAAGATTTCAACATAGTCTGTTAAGTAGGATTTACGCAGTTGACTACAATCATATGTGCGGTAAGAAAGGTAGCTAATTAACAAATGGTCTTATTGTTTCAAACTGAATCATTGATCTTTATTTTTGTGGAGTGACTGAATAGAGATGAAGAAACAGTAGCTAGGCACACTTATGACAGTGTCAGTGAGCGATCATTCTTCAACCTCTGTACACCATATAATTTTAAGATTTCTTTTGATTTCATTTTTCTGCTCAAAGTTCTGTTTTAGAAATCTTATTTCTGGGTATACCTCAGTAATCTCCAGACTGTGCTCACTGAAAAACAGACACCTAAAAAAGTTGAATACTAACCCAAAGCATCCAATTACATAAGAAAACATTGAAATATCTGAAGAGGTTAAAAAATCTACTATTGGATGTAGACAAGAACTAAGATAAAAGGACTAGATGAGATGAAATTGAGTCTATAAGAATGTGAAGATGCATTACTTGTCCACTTTGTTAAATTTTTGAGGCCTTGCCACAAGAGATGGTAAATTAGTAAAGCTGTGCTAATATTACAGAAAAGGAAGATGAGGATGAACCTTTGAACTACAGGGGTTCCCTACATATGAATATCAGAGTTACAAGGGTCCAAATTTGGAAGGTTGTTCACAGTGGTGGAAGAAGAGAATGAGTTTCAAGAGAGAGGCAAGCATTACAATTACTGAAAAATAGAGCAGGTTGTAAGAGAGAATGGCAAGTATTACAAATGATGATAATAAAAAAATAAACATATAAACACCAGAGACATGACAAACAGGTGCAATAATTACACACAATATGCTAACACATCTATGTTCAGAATGTTCCTTATACTGCTTAAGAATACTGTACATATTTGATATATTGTAGTGTATATTATTTCATGCAAGTTCTGTTTTGGTATATAAAAATTTACTTCATGCTATTTCATTTTCACCATTTATAACTTGAACCATATTTATCCTGTAGATTGGAAAAATGTGTGAGCAACGTTCATGCACCTGGAGTGAGAGAAGCAACTTACAGGTTAGGTCTGGCTGCCTGCACAGTAACACTCAAAAAATTTAACAACACCATCATCAGTATTGACTTGGCTCCACAGATTGCAGGTGCAGTGTGAATTTAGACACTTATTGTTTTGGTTATTTAACCTTTTACCTGTCCAAACGTAAATCTACGTTTTCACTGCCAACACTCTGAATATTTTGAAAAATAAGCTTTTTTTTTAATTAAAGAGGGCAATTTTCTGTGTGTAGTAAGACCGAAAAAATAATTTTAAGGTCAATTTTCCCCATGAGAAATAATGGAAATCAAATTAATCCGTTCCTGACACCCCAGAGTATGAAAAAAAAAATTACCACATGAAAGATACATTTTCCTACACAGACAAACAAGGAGACATGCATAATAACTGTATATTATTGTGTAATGAACAATAAATGATACTTACCTTTATTGAAGATCTGCCGATATGGGATGGGAGGAGGGGAGATGATATAGGTTATTTTTTGGAAGGGGTATCCCCTTCCATTAGGACTTAGGTAGCATGTCCTTTTCTGGGGTTACTTCCCTTCCTTTTAATGCCACTGAGAACAACTTGACAGTCACTGGACCTCTGTCGCACAACAAATCTTTCCATAGAGCTCTGTACCTCTCGTTCCTTTTAAGATTTTTCTAAAGTGGTTCACAACATTATCATTGTACAGGTTGCCAACACGGCTTGCAATAGCTGTGTCAGGGTGATTTTCATCCATAAATGTTTGCATTTCAGCCCACTTTTCACACATTTCCTTAATCCTTGAAGAAGGCAACTTCTTCAATTTCTCTCTCTCTCTCCTCTGAAGCAGTTTCCTTAGGTCTGGCCTCTTGCTGTTACAGATGCTCTTCCAGCTCATCAGTGGTTAGTTGTTCATCGTCGTCCTCCACCAACTCTTCCACATCCTCCCTACTAACCTCCAACCCCATGGACTTCCCCAGTGTCACAATGGATTCCACAACTGCTATAAGCTCCTGAGGATTAGCCCCAAACCCTTCAAAGTCCCTCTGTTCTACACATTGTGGCCACAATTTCCTCCAAGCAGAGTTCAAGGTCCTCTTAGTCACTCCCTCCCAAGCCTTACCTATAAGGTTTGCACAACTGAGGATACTAAAGTGATCTTTCCAAAACTCTCTTAGGGTCAACTTAGTGTCTGAGGTCACTTCAAAGCACTTTTGAAACATAGCTTTTGTGTAGAGTTTTTTGAAGTTGGAAGTGACCTGCTAGTCCATGGGCTGGAGGAGAGGAGTGGTATTAGGAGGCAAAAATTTGACCTTGAAGCTCATGTCCCCAGAAATTCGCTCTGCCAAGTCTGAACGATGACCAGGAGCATTGTCTAATTCGAGGAGGCACTTATTTATTTATTTATTTATTATTAATTTAGACATGATACATAGTTGTACAAAGAAATACAGTGGTTGAGTGTACATGTCAAAAGCCCCTTGTTTGCATAGCATTATGGGCAGGCTTAAAATTAACTTAAGATTAACGAAGCAATGATACATTCAATTGTAAAAATTACAGTCAACAAATTACAACATAAAGCACAAATGAGTAATTCAGAGACAGGTCATATGGTCATTTGAAGAGTTACTGTGCATTCAAGAGAATGGAGTATTCTATTAGGTTATGCAATTAAAAAAACAGTTTGATAGGGTCACAGGTTATACATTTATGAAATACAGTAATTCAGTATTTATTTAGTTGTGGGTTAGTAAGTGGTTTTTGAGAAGTCTTGAATTGATATACAGACAGTATTTCTTTTATATTCACTGGTAATGAATTCCAGATTTTTGCACCTTTTATGTGCATTGAGTTTTTACATAGTGTGAGATGGACATGAGGAACATCAAAGAGTGATCTGTGTCTTGTGTTATGGTCTTGTGTTCTGTTGAGGTTGGTAAGGAGACATTTGAGGGGAGGGTTTATATCTGAGTTAAGTGTTCTATGTATGTAGTAGGTACAATAATAAGTATGGATGTTTTGTACGGTGAGTAGGTTTAGAGTTTTAATATTGGTGGAGTGTGCTGCCTGTAGTGGGAATTTGTTTTCATTCTGACTGCAGCCTTTTGTTGGGTAATTGGTGGTCTGAGATGGTTTATTGTTGTTGAGCCCCATGCACTTAAGGTCCAATTTCTTTTCCAGGAGGTAATTTTTCACAATGGGGGCAAACACATAGTGAAACCAGTCATAGAAAAAGTCCCTAGTGACCCATGCCTTACTGTTTGCCCTCCACAGCACACACAAATTAGCCTTGAGGACATTGTTTCTCCTGAACACTCTAGGAATTTCAGAGTGATACACCAATAAAGGTTTCACTTTGCAATCACCACTAGCATTAGCACACAACAAAAGAGTAAGCCTGTCTTTCATAGGCTTATGTCCAGGGAGTGCCTTTTCCTCCTGAGTAATGTAGGCCCTGTTTGGCATTTTCTTCCAAAACAGACCTGTTTCATCATAATTAAACACTTGTTCAGGTTTCAATTCTTCAACCTCTATGTACTCTTTGAATTCCTGCACATATTTTTCAGCCGTTTTTTGATCCGAACTTGCAGCCTCACCATGCTTTATCACACTATGTATGCCACTATGATTCTTAAATCTCTCAAAACAACCTTTGCTGGCCTTAAATTCACTCACATCACCACTAGTTGCAAGCATTTTTTTTAATTAAATCATCATGCAACTGCCTTGCCCTTTCACATATGAACGCTTGAGATATGCTATCTCCTGATATCTGTTTTTTGTTTATCCACACCAGTAACAGTCTCTCAACATTTTCAAGCACTTGCTATTTGTGTTTTGTAAAGATACTTGCACCTTTTGCAACAACAGCTTCATTGATTGCATGTTTGTTGGCCAGGATAGTAGAGATGGTTGACTGGGGCTTGTTGTACAACCTGGCCAGCTCAGAAACACGCACTCCACTTTCATACTTATTTACTATCTCCTGCTTCATTTCAATAGTAATTTTCAGCCTTTTTATCACAAGGTTGGTGCTAGAAGCTTTCTTTGGGCCCATGGTGGCTTATTTAGCCACCGAATGTATACGTGGGAGTGACCACTCTGGCTTGTAAACAATGGCATACTAACTAAGGGCAGGCCAGCTGAGGTGAGCTCAGGCTGGACACACATGTGGACGAGTACCGCATGAATACTGTAGGTCAAGTTTTTCAACATACTTTGGGGTCAAATTTTTACGCTGAAACGCATCGTAGGTCGGTTTTAACATAGGTTTGGGACATTGTACATCAGGGGTCCATTGTATTATGCACAAATATTATGTAAGTGGGTATATTTAGGGTTCTTAACCCTTTCAGGGTTGAGAGGCCCTCTCCTAAACTCGTTCTCAGGGTCGAAAATTTTTCGGAAAAAAAAAAATTACTTTTTCTTATGAAAAGATAGAGAATCTTTTCCCGATCATAATGACACCAAAAGTTTGAAATCTGATGGAAAACTTACTGTGTTGCTGCAGGGTTTTTTTTATACCGTGAACACTGACCACAAAGACCCATTCTTTCATATGTCATGTGGGTTTCGATAACGTGGATGGGGTAAGAATACTCACGTAGGCTGGTAGTACGTATAATATAACGGAAAGTATGGGAAAGTACCAACAGCTGACCTGCCTATCTCTGCTCCCTATCTTTCGACTGACCCACAAGTGCCTACAGGGTGAGCGGTGTTTGAAATCATGCTATGGTCAGCAGCAACATAACAGTCAGTGATTCACAGAGACGGTTGGTAGTGAGTCATCTACTGGTACACTGGTTACTGGTAACTCGTTACTAGGAACTGGTACTACTACTGAGAGCTCGGCGACGCTAACGTATGTCGTCCCGACATACAGCTAATACAAGTAGAGACGGCAGGTGTACGGCTTGGGCTGATTCTATACAATGTCAAAGTACACAACAATTGAACATTATAACATACATAAGTAGAATATTGGAATGGAAGCTTACGTAATTGAAACTGTAATGCAATACAAGGTATAATATAGCACAACTCATTGAATGAAACTCAACATGGGATTACACAATAGAAGTGATAAAAAAAAATTTGATCGATCGATCTGTATTCCTTCCTCAGACATATGTAGGCCTACCAGCTTTGTCTCGCTAAATTTGAAGGTGCTAGAATTTAGGTGTTCTAGTACGTCAATAACCCTGGTGCGTAAGCCATACTAGTACGTCGGAAACCCTGAAAGGGTTGAAGCTCAAGCACTGTGAAATGTTTCATGGAATATTTTGGTTGCCCAAAATAAGTTTCCACATCTATGTTTGGAGCACTAGTAGTAACAATGTTGATCTACATTTGGACAGTTTAAGTGTTAACCACAAATGCAAGTTTTTACAGACGAATCTCCCACTAGCATGGCCGTGTCATTACGATTTCGTGAGTCATGTTGACGGCTTTGAGGGGACTTGAGCTAGAGTTCGTCATGGCCATGCTAGCAGGAGATTCGTCTGTAAAAACTTGCATAAGTGTTAACCCTTAAACTGTTTAAATGTAGATCTACGTTTGCACGCGTAGCGCTCCGAATGTAGATCTATGTTTTATTTTTCATTCATTCAGATTTGGTGCAATAGGCTTGAGTCACCTAGACATGAAAGAATGGGTCTGTGCACTCAGTGTGCACAGTATTTAAAAAATCTGGGACCACTTAGTATCTTGTGGGAGCACCAGTTCAACTGAGCGCTAACTAGAGCAGATAGCATGGCAAACACCAGGGTTTCATTGATGCCATGTCACATTAACACTCCCCTTTCAAGAGGAAAGTAAAAATAGGTTAGATAAATACATGAGTGAGTGTGGGTGGGTGTGAGTTGGACCTGACTAGCTTGTGCTACTAGGTCTGATGTTGTGCTCCTTTCTTCATTGGATGTGACCTGACTAGGTGAGTCATTGGTCTAAACCAGGGGGGGTGACATAGACCTGCCTTGCATGGGCCATTAGGCCTGCTGCAGTGTTCCTTCTTTCTTATGTTCTTATATATTCGGCAGGCTAACTGGCTTGTTTTGGCTGTCTCTGGTTGTCTCACTGTCTATATATCTCTGTCTATCTATATCT